CCGACCCGGGAAATGTCGGGCCGGGTACCCGACCCGGCCGGGTAATTTTTTTTAGAGAATTACCCGATTTTTTTAGATTCGGGTCGGCGGGTCGGGTCAACCGAGTCGGGTAATTTTGCACACCCCTAATTGACATTGTCTTGAGAAAAAAATATCAGAGACAATTCTTTAGATATTTTTCATAATGTTTCAAACTTTGATCGTAAAGCTGGTAGTTGTTGCTTCTTGATTCTATTTGAACCTTCATATTTCTTCTCCATGAAATCCCACATCTTTTTGCAAGTGTCTTTGCAAAGAACATGTTTTAATATTATGCGATCAATTGCTTAGAAAAAATAATTCTTTGTTTTGAGATCTTTCAACTTTAGCCATTCAAACTATGTATTCTGCGCATTTTTCATCATTTTGAATGAATTAAAAAAATATTGGGCAAATTTGCTCAATTAGGGTGGTGAAAAGAATGAATTTCTGTATAAGGGCTGGTGCATATTTTATTTTATCAAGTAGAGTGATTTCTACAGTGCTTTGAGAAAAATCTAAAACAACATGACGTCTTCGATGGAAGTCGCATAGAAGACTTAGCATCTTCCCCAAACAAGCAAGGAAACACGACGCACCAGACACGCTGAGGAACAAGGAAACACTATCATTTTTAGCAAATTGTTTTTGAAAGAAGCAAATGGGAAGAATCCGATGGGGTTGCCTGTATTCCCACTCATGTTTTGTGCTTATTATATATATATGCAAATCACATATTGTCATTAAGTGCTCATACATGCTCAAGGAAAGATAGTAGCTACCTAGTTAGTTTCTAGTTGCTGGAAAAAATTTGGCAACTGTTCCATCATCTTTTAATTTTAACTATTATTATGAATATAAATCTTTAGTTTGTGTAACATCAAAGCTATACAGAGAAAAATGATACGTGTTGAATTTAAGTGGCCAAGCCTATGACCACAGCATCTATTGCCTAAGGGACAAATTAAGGTCACCATTCACAACTAATAACTGTCCCTTAATCAATCCCCCTCATAGTTAATAATATAAAATATGTATCGAAAAGTTTGATTAATCTCACGAGCCGATCAAGTTATAGATATTATGATTTTTAAACTCCACATATCAATAACTCGAGTTAATTAAATTTGACTTGATTATTAATTCGAAGTGAAAAAATTTAAATTTGTTTTTTAACTAAAATAGATTGAGAAAATTATATTTCAATTATACCCATGTTGTGAAATATAAAGCGTAAAAGAGAATGAAATTGAAAAGGCTTTTTCTTTTTCTTTTCTTTTACTTTTAGTACCTCTAAATGTGGGTGTTATTGCTCTTTTGTTCACTTTATGCTTACACAAAAAGGGGACCTTTCTGTCAAAAAGAAAAAAACGAGACCTTCTTAATTCATATACAATTAAAAAAATAAATGTAGGTAACGGATGGTAGTTAATATTTTTTTTATTCTCAACTTAATAAATTTGACCCGAATCCGATTATCGAATTGATTTATCCGATACTCAATATATACAGAACATGATGACTAAACTTGATCCGAAATTTGAATCAAAACCGATCCAAATTTTAGTTGAACCAATATAGACCCTATATATACAATTTGATCTCAACCAAAAATATCTCCAATCGAAATTAATCCGAACCGAAAGCAATTTGAACTGAAAACAACCAAAGTATGCAATCCGAACTGAAAACAATCGAAACAGAAAACAAACTGAACAAAACCCGATTTGAAAGTAACCCAAACTAAAATTAACCTGAACCGCAAGCAATTCGAACATAAAATAACCCAAAACGAAAGCAATTTGAATTTAATTTACCCAAATCAGATTCGAGCAGAAAATTGACCTGATTTTTAACATGATCAATGAGTAAAAGTGAATGAATAATTTATTTTATTATATCTTTGTAAATAATATGATGAATAGTAAAATGATGCATGTTTTATTCTCTTTTTGCATTATATTACTAGTTAATCACCACAGGTTTGAAAATTATTTAATAATTTATTATTATTTTCTCTCATTTAAAAGATCATCTCCATATTTGATCTGATAATTTCTATAAAAAAAATTAAAAAATTATTTGGTATGAAGTATTATAAAGTCAAATTACTACCCAAAATTTTATTTTATATTATTAAATTTAATTATCATCACTTAGATTAAATATTATAACTAACTTAAAAAGAAAAGAAATTTCACTTTTTTACAAACATAAATCAACATGAAACAAAAGTATCAAATAAAGAGAATTCACTTTCATTCAAACCATCAAAGTTATTTTAAATAATAAAATAATTTAAACAAAGTTAAACTTTAATAAAAATATTAAATTTATAATAAAAATATTAAAAAGTGCTTAGTTATTATTTTTTAAAGTTATAATAAAATATTAAATTTATAATTGAACATTAAAGATATCACCGGAAATTTTAATTGAGAATGAAATTTATAATAGCAAATTTTATTTTTATAATTTTTTTTGGATCCAATCAATATAAAATTCAAGTTACAAACTCTAACACGTGTTATAGGATCGAGTTTGAGTTAAATTATCATCTCTTAATGATGATTTAATTTAAAATATTGAACAAGTGAAAGTTAAATAAGCCTAAATGATAAGACTGACAAACAAATAAACAAAATTTTTACGAGGATATATCAATAATTTTATATATACTTAATTAGAGTCATACCCAACCCAACCCGAATTGGCTCGATCTAAAGGTTGACCAGAACCAAAATCAATCGATCTAATATTGACCCGAACCGAAAATCAACTGGTCTGGTATTGACTTGATCCAAAAATCAACCGATCTGATATTAATAATACCCAAAATCTAATTGATCCAATATTAACTCGACACAAAGATCAATCGATCCAATATTGACCCGAACGAAAAGCAACCAACCCGAAAATTGACCCGAGCCAATACCCGAACCAACCCAATTTACATCCAAACTTAATCCGAACCAGACCTAACCTGACCCAAACATAATTAAATTAAATATAATCTAGATCTAAAATAATCCGATCTGAAATGACCCGACACAAACCCGAACCGAATGACCCGTTTGCCACCTATAACAAAATCTCAAGATTTTGGAGTTGTATACTAATTTATTGTTAAAATAAGTTATCGATGCTTTTTAATTAAGATTTCGTTGTAGAATCAATGACAATGGAAATAAATAGATCCAACTCTTTCAGGATATTTTTTTTATTTATTTTGTAGTTAATTTTAAAAAATCCTTAAAAAACCAAACAATAAAATAAATTTTATGAATTTCATAAAATTTTGATGTCATTTTACATCTCCTCTCTATATACCCTTGATGTTTCACTTTCTTGCAACACTTCCTTTGTATCTACAATTCTAGTCTATTAAATAATAGTTATTGTAATAGCCCAATTTCGTTCTAGCTCTTACAACTGGCCCAAAACTATTTTACCTTAAAACATATCAACCTTTCCAAGCCCAATTACATCTAAAAGCCTAAACTAATAGCAAAATCATAAACCTACTCTTGGAGCCAGAAGTTATTATCGAGATTTCAACCATCCCCATCAAAGCAAGTAATGCCAGCCTCGAAATTGTTGGTCCCCTCTTATCAATGTGCTTTGCGACGCCAAGCCTGGAACAACTGCTCCCCTCTCATGTTCATTTTTTTTTCTCACAGTAGTATTTTATATATTATAGAATCCATGTGCAGCGGTTGCAAAATGAGCCCAGATGACATCCATACAAAGTCCACTCCCGACTACAAAAATAGAAAAAAAAACCTCCCAAGTTCCTAAAATTATTACCCCTAACTTTCTACAGACCGACTCGCAACCTGAATCTAAACTATTACCTCCCCCGTTCTTACGCACCCACACCACGATTAACAATAATTTTGATCATAAAAAAATCTAGAGTGTTGCATTATCTTACACCTGAAAATGGTGTCAAAAGAATTTATTTGGACAAGATAAACGGAATGCTATAAAAATTATAGTAAATTCTAAAATCACTCAAATACATTCTAATCTTAACTAATGCATTTTCACTACATATAATGTCTGATGATGGCCAAACTACCTAATAACTAAGCATGATATGAGAGAATTAGTGAGTAAAAATACCTTCTTTTATTCATGTATCACGGATGTAATTACTTTTATTAATTTGTCAAGTATGGAAATTAAATATGTGTCTCATCTTTATGTACATAATTATAAATTACAATAAATATCAAAACTTTTTATAAATTACAAGTAAAGAAAAAATTTCTCATAAATTACAAAAAAAAAAAAGGCCATCGTAAGTGTTTCTATATCTTGTATCATCCTTGAATTAATGAAGACTGAAGACTTCCAACTTGCATCTCTCTCCTTACGTTTTACTATGAAGCATTAGAAACAACTGCGTACTACATACCTACACCTCGGTATTGTTGAATAACCAAGAAAACTCTAAGAATTTGCAGATATGATTTTATTCAATCACCAAGATGACTACATGCCTCACGTTTTCAGCAGCTTATATAGTAGCTTTACAAAAACTCTTAAAACTTCTTAATAGCATTCTGTTATACTAACCAACTAGCTTCTAGACTTCTAGACTATTTCTAGAACCATCTAAACCATTCCATCCACGAGCATGCATGGAAGCACGCCTGGGACTGCTGCACAAATATGCAATGCAGCAACTCTCAACATTCCCCATGCTTCTTCTTCTCTTCTGTTCTTCTGACCTTGAACATACTATTACAACAAGCTCTAAAAAAACTAATTACAACTAATTTCTAACATTCAACCTTCTTGATGAAAAGATGAACAATTGAATCGAAAGTGTTTATGCTTCCTTTCGTTCACTTGAATCGAAAGTGCCGATGCTTCCTTTCGTTCTTATTCACCTTCATTTCTTTCTTCTTCATCCTCTTTTACATGGTTCCTAGACATATATTTTTTTCATGGACTCTTGGCTACATTCATGTTTGCTAATCGCTATTTGGTTGATGAAGCTAAAATTACACTGCCAAGATGCTGGAATTTGTTAACAAAATGCCCCTACCGAATAGACGTCAAATGCCTGCTCTTATTGATCTAACTCTAACCCGTCCTAACAACTTCAAGAAGATTCACTCACCTTGGCCTAGGATTTTTCTTCATCATATGGGGGCATGGTTGTCCAGGGACAGAATCAAAAAAAAAATTCCTCCACTATATCCTCTTGCTCCGAAGAATCAAGCAACATTTCTGAATCTGAAGGAAGAAAATGAGAGCCAGGGTAGTTTCCGAGGGCTCCTAAATCTCCCAAGTTTGACAAATCTTCTGTCAGACCTGTGAGACTGAAATTCCACTAAATCTGATCGAGTGAACTAAGGGAATCTCTAGAATTCCCAGCTCCAGTATCAGGTCCCAACTGCAATCCTATTGAACTTGCCACATCTGTTGTGAAGGCTAAATCAAGTGCTGATGTATCTACTCCCATCCCTGGCATGTCTGATGCAGTGAAGGGAAAATTCCCACTGGACGCCACTAAAGTCGGGCTCACAGGCATCTCATAGTTCTTCTCAACAGAAGAGCTGCTCTTGGCAGTCTCCAGTTCCTGCTCATAGTCCAGGGAAACATAAGCAAGCTTTTCCTTCACGTCACGGACAATTTCCCGTTCAGTAGTGGTGGTGAACATGTAACCTCTCTCGGTAAGGATCTTTATCAAAGCATCAGTGAGGTCACAACCAGCAAGGTCAAGACGGAGAATGACATGTGGAAGGGCATATCCTTCATAGATTGGCACAGTATGAAAAATACCATCACCAGAATCTAGCACAATACTTGTAGTACGACTACTAGCATACAAAGAAAGAACAGCCTGGATGGCAACGTACATGGCAGGTACATTGAAGATCTCAAACATAATCTGCTACCCGAGACGAAAATGCAGTCACAATAGAGCCAACAGACTCCATGCAACGGAAGAAGAAAAAAACAAAATCAGGACCGTTTGGCGAATGATACCATGTTGAATAACCAAGAAAACTCTAAGAATTTGCACATATGATTTTATTCAATCACCAGCAGCTTTACAAAAACTCTTAAAACAGCTTAACAGCATTCTGTTATACTAACCAACTAGCTTCTAGATTATTTCTAGAACCATCTCAACCATTCCATGCACGAGCATGCATGGAAGCACGCCTGGGACTGCTGCGCAAATATGCAGTGCAGTAACTCTCGACAGGTATAATCCAAGTATTCATAACCATCCTTGTTTATAAATAATTGTCAGTACATCTCCTATGCCAATACGTGCAGGTCGAGGATATAAATTTTTCATACCAGAACTGAATTTTGTCATGGTGTCAACAACCTGTATTTAAACCATAAAAGCTAATGAGAAGAATCTAATAGATTAATTCATTAAAGAATCAGAAATTTCATGATAATCATAGATTTGATTAAAGTATAAAATGGTGAATTAATTTAAATGAAACTATGGCATTCTTATGAAAATTTTCTTACCTGATATGAAAGTTTAGTGTGAGCAAGTCAATGGGATACATGCAAAAAAATCGATGTTCCTCCACAACCAGAACCGACTAAATGATCCACAAGAGGTCCACACCAAAATTAAGCAAACATTATTAAGATATAGATAAGAATCCGGATGATGCTTCATGATTCATGCTTTGCCATGAGTTGCTGAATTCAACCAGACTTTTTGTTCCTCCGGGAGATGCTTTGAGTTTTCAGATTAAGTATAAAATTAAGCTAACAGATGCTAGTTATTATTTTTTCTATTCTCAACTTATAAAATCTAGACCTGACAAACTTGGCCCGAATCCAATTACCCGAATTGATTTATTCAACCCAATACTCGATGTAGTTGGGAACATGATGACTAAAATTGATTCCAAACTCGAACCATACCCGATTCGAACCAAAACCGATCCAAATTTTAGCTGAACCAATATGGACCTATACAATTTGATTCGAACCGAAAATAACTTGAATCAAAATTAACCCGAACCGAAAACAACCCGAACTGAAAACAACTCAAACCGAAAGCAAACCAAACCGAATTTAACCTAACTTGAAAGTAATCCGAACTGAAATTAATCTGAACCGAAAACAATTCGAACCGAAAATTACTCGAATCAAAAGCAATCAGAATTTAATTAACCCAATCCGATTCGAACCAAAAATTGGCCCAATATTTAACACGATAAATAAGTAAAAGTGATTGAATAATTTATTTTATTATATATTTGTTAACAATATGATGAATAGTAAAATAATGCATGTTTTATTCTCTTTTTTAATTATATTACTAATTAATCACCACGTTTGATAATAGTTCAATAATCGCATACCATGTTGATAATAATTTAATAAGATTTTAAATATTATAGAAATGCCAAATGATATCACTAGAGTGTTCCATGCGGTGCCCTTTGATGCTGTCACATGATAGATAATTTTAAAATATTAAGATTTAATGGTCAAAATTAATTGAAGTACTTAATTAATATAATTTTATAGTTTAAGGATTTAATTGATTTAATTTTTAACTGTAAAAGTATATTTTGTTGTAAAAAATTTTAAGTACTGAATTAATTTTATTTCAAATGATTAAGGTTTCCGATCTATCATTAAGCCGAATTGATACCCGAACCTTTAAGAAAATTGATAGAACACGTATAAAAAGTTTTAGTATAATTAGGTTTAAGCCCTTTGATTTAATTGATTTAATTGATTTAATTAATTTTATAGTTTAAGTTTGTGAACCCTTAAGCCAAATAGATATTAACAAAAAAATCCTAAATATATATATACATATAAAATATTTATAGAACACATAACTTTAAGAAAATTAGTATGAGCAATTTTGTTTTTGGTATAACCATCGGTTTTCGATCTATTGATCGACTAATCCAGATCGGGTACTGTAGAGACAAGGGATACCCTCTGTTAGGATCGAAGAGGCTCAATTAAACAACCGAAAATGTTGCTAAGGGGGTGAATTGGTAAAAATTGTTCAGGGAGTAAGTAGAGTAAAAGATAAAGAAATTTGACACAAGGATTTATAGTGGTTCGACTTATCAACCAAGTCTACTTCCACTACCTAAGCTCCTCACTTAGGATTTTCCAACAAATTCACTAATTTGTTCTTTCTTTTTCAAGGATTAAGAGATAACCTTTACAACTCCCTAGTTTTCACTTAGCTAAACTAGAACCAACCTTTTACAAAAGGTAAAAAGAAGTAAACAATAAAACCTCTCAAAGGTAGGGTGTTTACAAATTTAGCTCACTAAAAACACAAATATTTACAAGAGAGATAAAATAAGATTGGTAAAGTCTTCTCTTGTGTTTGATTGCTTGGATAGGTGTTCTAACCCTTCTTCAAGTGTCTTGAACTTGTTTTTATAAGTTGGAATGAAGTTATGGCCGTTTCTAGCTGTTGGGGATGATTTCTAGCTGTTTGGGGATGAAATCTCTGTAAAATAAAATTGTCCAGTACAGAGGGTATCAGTACTACTAAAGGGAGTATCGATACTACATTTGTTATTTTTAAATCAACTAGCTGTTACTAGCCTTTGGGGCCTAATGGTATCAATACTATGCATATGTTATCGATACTACTATACAAAGTAATATCGGTACCCCTTTGGGTATCAGTACCATTTTTGCATTTTGGAATTTGAGCAATGCTGGTAGTATCGATACTGCCCAGTGAGTATTGATACTTCCCTTACCTTTGGTATTGGTACCATATAATAATATTAGTATTGTTCATGACGTATCGATACTGTAAGAATAGTATCGGTACAGCTTGTCCAGAAAAATATTTTGTGCCCAATTCCAAGATAAATGGACTTTGAATTATTTTTGAAAACTTTGAAAGCTTTGAATAAATTCAATTCAAGTCCAAAAACATTTTGCCTTAAATTGTTATATCAAAATATAGTTCAACAATCTCTCCCCTTTTGATATAACAAAATATTTGAAAAATTATTTTTGGCAATACTCCCCCTTAATAAAATATTTAATGAAAAATATGTTAATTGTTGGAAAAATGTTCAGCTCCCCTTTTTTAATTGAGAAATTGAATTTTTCAAGCTCATACTTCTTCCTTTTTTGTTATATCAAAATAATTCAACTATTTGACATAAAATAACATTGGAGAGTAAGTGTTAAATTTGACATAAAATCATTTGAAAAATCAAAAGCTCCTCCTCAAAAAGTGCATTCCAAACAAAAATTTGACTTTAAAAGTTTGACACTCAAGCAAAATTGAATTTCAAAAGATTAACAAACATATTAGTAGCACATGAAATTCAATATATCCAAGTCTAAAATACTTTATGCAATACAAAATGTTGAAATTAAGTGCATGTGCATAAAGCCTTCCAAAAATGTTATGCAATTTAAAATTTTGATATCAATTGTTAGAGAGATATCATTGTCATTTTAACCACATGCATAAACATTTAAATTTAGGTCAAAAACTTAAAATTTTTAAAATCAAAGCATTTTGAAAATTGATATCAATTGTTAGAGAGATATATTTCGCATTTAAACTAATTTTGACCAAAATTCATTATGAGGAACTAAAAAATATGAAAAATCATTAAATCTTTAAAAAAGCTCATCATAAAACCTTTTCAACATACATGAGATGAAAAAACAAAACATAACCATTTAAGATCAACACTCATGCATGCCTAAACTAAATGAACAACCAAATAATTAAAATTAAAAGCATTAAGCTTAGAGGTTACCCATTCCTTTTCAAGTGTAGCTAGAGCATTTGAGTATCGTCACTTTCATCACCATTGCTCTCACACACCTACAAGAGACATTTCAGTAGATTTTGGTATCCAAATTGCTTTGGATCCTTGAACATTAGTTTCAACGCCCCTTGTTCCATTAGGAACCCATACTTGTCTAATTTTAAAAGATTTTCTTTTCTTTATAGGACATGCATGTTCCATATGACCATGAAAATGGCAATGTGAGTATTTTGCCATTTTTAAACATAATGAGTTGTTTTTAGAATTTAATTTTTTTTCTTTTGTTAAGCTCTCAAGCATAACTTTCAAATCAAAGTTCTCTTTTTAGAAATCATTGATTTTGACTTTTGAAATCTCTAAATCTTTTTTCAAAAATTCATTTTGCTTTTCAAAATCAATTTTTTCTTTCAAAACCAAATCATTTTCAAATTTAAGTTTTGAAATTAATTTCTTATATTTGGAATTCATGGTCTCAAATTCCAAATAGAGCTCATTGTAAGCAACTTGTAACTCATCAAAAGAATAAGAATCAAATTTATTTGAGTCAGAAGTTACCGTTGAATCTTCATTGATAACCATGAGGCATATGTTGGCTACTTCATCTTCATCACTCCAAATTGCCACAAATGTTTTTTCTTGTTTGATCCCTTCTTTAGGAGGGGACATTCATACTTGATATGCCCCGTTCTTTGACATTCGAAACACACCAGGGGACTCTTCTTTTTGTTCGATTCATGCTTCACTTCCTTGGAAGTCATGAATCTCTTGAATCTTTTGAATAGCTTGGCCATCTCTTCTTCATCATCATCATCTTCATACACCTCTTCATTTGAATCTTCATAGCTCTCATTAGTGGATTTGAAGGCAATGCCTACATTCTTCTTCTTTTCTTCATTCTTATTGTCATTCTTTTCTTCATCATCTTCCTCTTCCTTCACCATCAAATCATGAGTGAGAAGAGAACCAATAAGCTCCTCAAGAGTGAGAGACTTTAGGTTTTTAGCTTCGATAATTATCAGTTTCTTTGATTGCCAAGACTTTGGAAGAGAGTAGATTATATTTCTCACAAGCTTTTCATTAGGGATTACTTCTCCAAATTCCTTGAGACCGTTGACAATCATAG